CACACACACACACACACACACACACACACACACACACACACACACACACACACATATATATGCATATAAATGCATATATATATGTGAGTGTGTCAATTACGAAGAAGGGAACCGCACGTCGCAAGTCCAGGTGGCACACAGTTATAGTTTGAGGTGTCACAAAAGCAAAAAAATAGCGGTGTCACTTCAGGAAACACAACTTCCACCGTATAGGGAACTTGCAGACAAGATGTGGCAGTAAGATGACAACATGCAACCTAATTATGGCCTTCTAGCACGTCCGATCACAGGGAACCTATTGACAAATGTGCTATAAGATATCATTGAGACCGCGTTGCATGGAAGCGGCAGCTGCACGAAGGGTCTCACCCAAACCAAATCCCGCCACGACTGCAACTGCGAGGCGAGCAGATGGATTTGAGCTTCCTAATTAGCGATTCTTATAATTCCCTGCATCGCTACAAGTCAGCTTTTAAGAGGTCCGCGCGCGTGCGTGCGCATGTGTGTTACTTTGCACACAAACTGGAGGCTCAGGGCGGGGCCTAGCGAGGAGGAGGAGGCGGAGGAAGATGAGGAGGGGAACCAGACACCCCCCTGCACACCTGTGCGCACTGCCAGAATGGATAAAACTTGAAATTCATCACAACCGCCCGGCGGCGAGGCATTCGGCCATTTTGCGTCATATCCAATGAAATATAACGGGAGGGAAATGTTGACAATCATGCGAAACGGGGGGATGACAACGCAAGAACCACTTTGGCTGCAGACGTATTTGGCTGCGCTAACTTCCCCAGTCGGGGGAACCTCACTCCATTCTCTTGCCACTTTGTTGTATCGATACAAACGAATATATGATTAGAATGTGCTGCAAGGGTGATGGAGCTTTTGACATGCCTCATTTTGCTGGCCAAGGGAAGCCACACAGGAATACACACGAAGAAGGAATTAAAGCGACAGACGGATGCCGCCAGCCAGCTAACGTCTTTCAGCGGCAAAAAAAAAGCCAATGTGTGCCAGCTCGAAGAAGGATGGTGGCATATGTGCGTGTGAAATGTGCAATGTTTGCGTTTCGTCGCCACGTCCCCAATCCGCCCGCTACCGATACTCCCCAAGAGGATCGACTCTATTTCCAATCTGTGGTCGCATTTACTTCTATTGACATGGTGGCAGCCCTGCGCGCACACACACACACACAAACACGCACGCACGCACACACTGCACCAATGATCAATTCATCCATCAGTCGAGCGTGCGTGCTATAAATGAGACTCCCCGAAAGTGGATCTGCTCTACTAGAACAAGATATTGCTGTAAATGAGCAGCGCTGCGAGACGCCAGCGCACACACGCACACACACTCACACACACAACAAAGCAATGAATATGCTGACAGATCCTCCAGGACAACACAATGTTCATCCTGACATTTAAATAGAGCAGCGGTGCAGGAGTAGAAACGTCAAAAGCATCACAGGCGCACGCACACACACACATAAGCAAGAAAAGGGCAAACGTGCCCTGCAACAGGAACCAGTTAGCAGATTGCTTTTGTTGACAGAGAAATGGAGGATTTTCTGCAAAAAGTGAACTGATGCACATTTTCCAAGGCCGTCTCCACGTTTTTCCTGAAAGGTGACCATTCATGGATGGTCAGAGGTTTAGCCAACCAAGTAAATTATAAGCGGAAGCTCAGCGTGGTCTCGGGAGTCCATCTTGGGGGGGGGAGAACGCAGCATACCTGCCACACCATTCTCGGGACTGATTGTTTCGCATCAGTCACCGCAATTCATCCTGGCGCTTTGGGGAGAATTAGTACTTTTACTACAATTGCTACAGCTCATTAGTGCTCCGGAAAAGAAGCAGGCAGTCAGTAGTGGGCCCTGGAATAAATATAGGACATCTATGAGGGGAGAGAAAAAAAAAAAAAAAAGCCTGCAGGCCAAGCTGCTGTTTTGCAGCCCAGATATCTTCTGCTCGGGTGATTAATAGTGACACGGAGGATGGCTCGGTTTAAATAGCTCCAGTTTAACGGGGCAACTGGGAGACGTTTGACTCACAAATATGTGCGAACTGCCAGATAATCAGCAGAGAGGGTTGCTAATGCTACATTAAAGCCCATACAACACTGAAGATCACCCGTACAAGGTTCCGCCATGGTAGCGAGCACTCGCCGCTGCTCGATTTGCGGGGTTAGAGACGTTGCTTCCGACTGACGTGGCCAGCAAACGAAAGGGAACAGGATGAAGGTCATTGAGCTCGCACCTATCCGTGGTTATCCTAATAACAACTGACCCAACAGATTAGACCAGAGATTTAGGTCAAAATATTTTGCATTGAGGAGTCACGCTCAGTATTTGCTTCCATATGACTTATTTATTTATTTATTTTTTTTACATCATTTGATCCACGGAGGTTGAAAAAAGGTCAAAAGCCAGGTATTTGTCTTACAAAAAAAAAAAAAAATGTCCGAAAAATAAATACTAAATGTACCGAGCTACTTGGCCCACTGTAAAAGAATGGCCACGTTGCGGCAAGCAGCTGTGTTACCCAGAGCGCGAGAGCATCATTTCCGACAATTGTCTGACATCTTAACGAGGGAATGATTGATCCCTTCATCACCAAATGACCAGCGGATTAGCCGATAATTAAAATCGCTCATTAGCGGCAGCCTCCGACGCTAATTTGTCATTGGTTACAAATGACCGAGCAGTCCGACGCGTGGCCCAAAAAAAATTTATTGACAAAATACGGGGGAAAAAATGTTGAGCATGAGAAATCCGAACCCTGAGATTGAACAGTCTCACGCGTGGTGCTGACTGTTAAATCAAAGTGCGATTGTCTCGAAACCCACTAGTGGTCCGATTGTTTGAGTGAACAAAGCCGAGCCATAGTTGATGGGATTAATTAACAAGGATTAACTTTCCCTACCTTCTTTCTTTCGCACCCTTGTTTAACTTCCTCCTGCCGTTACAATAATCCTTCAATCCCCCCGTCCGCACAGGCTCCGGATTAAGCTACGCGTCTGTCTGCGCCGTCGGTTCAATCTGTTAAAAAAACAAACAAGCGCGCCTTTGCGGAGGTAATTAATATTTGTATAGTCTCTAAAAATAACAGTGTGACTTCACAGAGGGCGGCGCGATATGGCTGAAAAGTATATCGCGATATGAGTATTTCGTATCGCGTCGATATTGATAATTTTGAACACAACTGTTAGAATGTCGAATAATCTGGTCGACATAAAGATCAAACCTAGACCTTTAACCTTAAAACTCTGCCCACCTGTAATCCCACCCTGACCAATGAAACCTAAATTTCAAAGCTAACCCCCGCGTAAACCCGAATCATCGTCCAAACCCCCCCACTCCTTCTTCTTCTTCTTCCCTCCAACTAACAAAGAGAATGAGGCACGCGAAGAAGAAGAAGAGAGGGCGACGAACATTGCTGGACGACATCAGAGCCGCGGCTTGAGATAAAGAAGAAGAAGATGAGGGAGAAGACGCCAAATGAGAAACGAGCTTGGCGAGATTGCGGAATGGTAGAGAAGGGAAAAAAAAAA